AGGGACACAGCCCGTCATTTGTTACGAGGGACACAGAAATTGTTACGTCAGGACAGACAGAGAATTGTTACTGAGGGACAACAGATATTGTTTACTGAGGGACACAGAATAGTGTTACTCAGGGACAGACACAGAATTGTTAACTCTACACGACAAATTTTTACTGTAGGGACACAGAATTTGTTACTGGTCGGGTACACAGAATTGTTAACACTGAGGGACACGTAATTTGTACTGATGGACACAGAATTGTTACTCAGGGACAGACACAGAATTGTTACTCAGGGACACACAGAATTGTTACTGAGGGACACAGAATTGTTACTAGGGACCCACAGAAATGTTAACTCAGGGACACCAGAAACTGTTACACAGAATTAAGTTACTGAGGGACACAGAAATTGTTACTGAGGGACACACAGAATTGTTTTACTGGAGAGTACACAGAATTGTTACATCAAGGACAGAATGTACCAGAATTGTTACAGAGGGACAACACAGAATTGTTATGGAGGGACCACAGAAACCTACACTACCATTTACTGAGGGACACAGAATTGTTACTCAGGACAGACACAGAATTGTTACTGAGGGACAGACACAGAATTGTTACTGAGGGACACAGAATTGTTACTACAGGACACTACAGAATTGTTACTGAGGGACAGACTCAGAATTGTTAACAGCTCAGATGGACAGTACAGAATTGTTACTCAGGACAGACACAGAATTGTTACTGAGGGACACAGAAATTGTTACTGAGGGACACAGAATTGTTACTGAGGACACAGAATTGTTACTCAGGGACAGACACAAAATGAGACACTACAGAACTGTTAGACACAGAATGTTTACTCTGGGGACACAGAATTGTTACTTCGGACCACACAGAATTGTTACTGAGGGACACAGAATTGTGTTTACTTCAGGGACACAGAATTGTTACTGCTCATGGACACAGATTGTTACTCAGGGACAGACACAGAATTGTTACTGAGGGACACAGAATTGTTACTATTTTAGGGGACACAGAATTGTTCACTCAAATGGACACAGAATTGTTACTCAGGGACAACACAGAACATTGTTATAGCTGAGGGACACAGAATTGTTTAACGTACTCAGGGGACACAGAATTGTTACTCAATACAGTCACACTATCAGAATTGTTACTCAGGGTCATGACACAGAATTGTTACTGAGGGACAACAGAATTGTTACTGAGGACACAGACTTGTCTACTGAGGGACACAGAAGGTGTTGTTACTCAGGGACAACAGAATTGTTACTCAGATGGTAGAGTCACAGAATTGTTACTGAGGGGACACAGAATTGTTACTGATGGACACACAGAATTGTTTACTCAGGATGACACCAATTTTTACTGAGGGACACAGAATTGTTACTCAGGGAAGAACAGAGATTGTTACTAACATGTCAGCTGGGACACATTTTCGCATCGACTATTGTTCGCTGAGGGACACAGAATTGTTTACTGTGGTACACAGAAATTGATTACTGAGGGACACAGAATTGTTACTCAGGGACAGACACACAGAATTGTTTACTGAGGGAAAAGACAGAATTGTTACTGAGAGGACACAGAAATTGTTACTGAGAGGACACAGAATTGTTACTCAGGGACACAGAATTGTTACTTAGGAAGACACAGAATCGTTGAATTAAAGAGTATGTCAAACAACACGCAGAGGAGTCCGGACAAGAGTGCAGATGGAGGCAATGTTTTAGAGGAGCGAGCAGACGTGGCAGCAGAGGAAGGGGTCTGTCGAGGCAGCACTAGTTCGCAGCCAGAGGCCAGTGCTCCCGGTGTCAATCCAGCGGTCGTGTCTCCACCGACAACCGCAAACCTGCCGTCATCGATTGGTTGCACTCGGTCGTCTTCCTCTTCCCAGGTCACCTCTGACACCTACAGCCAACGGTCGGTGGGTACGTCAGACACAACCGTTAGTTGGCATGGCCCGGAGCAAGCCCACTGAAATCACGTGTCCCTCTACCTGCCCCTGTCCCTTTGGTGTTCCCTCACCAAGCGAAGTAATCGCATGCTGTGGGCTCAGCCCCACTGGTACAGTGAGGAAGAGCTAACAGAGGGCGGTCAGGAACGGGGGGAGACATCCCGCCTCTTCTAGCAGCCAGGCGAAGAAGTACTGGCGAGGAGAGTGGCTCGGATAGCCGGTCTAGAGACAGGTCTGTCTCTCCTGACCCACACGCAGCCGGGGGCTAGTATGAGGCGGAGACCCTAATGATGATGATGAGGCTGATCGCACTTGGCAGCCTCGTCGTCATCAGGCTATTGCTTTCCCCGCATCATCAGGAGAAGAGGGTGCCAGCTTGGCAGCGAGCAAAACAGTCGGTGGGTTTCCCCAGGAGGCAGCAAGGGTCGCAGCAGTGTCAGTGGAGGCAAACGGCCACGGAGTAGAGCACCAGCTCCACTGCAGCCCTACCACCACGGCCAGTAGTGGTGCCGGGAATAGGTGTGCACACGGAGGAAGTAAGTCAGTCAGCCAGTGAGGAGTAGCGGGGGCAAAGTTTTCCTACTCGGCGGTGTGGCAATTTTTGTCAAGCCGCGGGAAAACCGTAATAAAAATACGGCGGTTCTGCCTGCCCCAGCCCCCGCTCCATCACCCGCTCCGTTACTTGCTCCGTCACCCGACGTCAATCGCCCTCTATCAGCCAGTCAAGGCTCCAACACCTCTGCTGAGGGGAGTTGTCGCTCGTTGGCATCTTCCGCTCGTTCAGATGCTCCTTCTCCTGCTACTCCTCTTCAACGGATTCCGTCAGCAGTCTTTCTTGGAATCCGTTTCCAAGAGACAACAGTTTGCGAGCACGCACCCGACGGTGCAAAAGCTGAACGTCCTCCTGTCCAAGTTGCTGGTGCTGCAGTCCCTCCCTTTCCAAGTGGTGGACTCAGCACCTTTCCGAGAAATGATGGCTTGTGCCGCGCCGCGGTGGAGAGTGCCAAGCCGTCATTTCTTCGCCAAAAAGGCAGTGCCAGCCCTGCATTCACATGTAGAAGAGATGGTGGGCCAGTCTTTGAGCATGTCGGTCTCTGCCAAAGTGCACGGCAGCGCCGACGTGTGGAGCTGTAACTACGGTCAGGGACAGTACATGTCATTTACGGCCCACTGGGTGAACGTGGTGCCGGCACAGCCGCACCAGCAACTTGGACAGGTCACGCCGCTTTTGCCTCCACGTTTGCACGTCCTTGGTCCACAAAAGATGTCCGCCTCTACCACCTCTTCTTTCTTCCGCCGTGTCCTCAGCCGCCACCCCCCGTGCCAAGTCCCATTACCCGACCGGCATATCACATGTGCAGGGCGCAACGGTGTCACGCTGTGCTGCACCTGGTATGCCTTGGCGAACGTAGTCACACAGGGGAGGAACTTCTCTGAGTGTAATGAACAGAGAAATCGACAGATGGCTGTCTCCGCGCAAACTGAAAATCGGAACCATGTTGACCGACAACGGAAAGAACATGGTGTCTGCTCTGCGTCAAGGAAGGTTGTGCCATGCGCCATGCATGGCTCACGTGTTCAATCTGGTTGTCAAGCGGTTCCTAAAATCCACCATCCCACTGCAAGACATCCTTAAAATGTCACGTAAACTTTGCATGCATTTCAGCCATTCCTACACCGCAAAGCACACCCTCCTTGAGCTGCAGCGGCAGAACGGAATTCCACAGCATCGCCTGATCTGCGACGTTGCAACAAGGTGGAATTCAACCCTACACATGTTAGACCGCCTTTACGAACAGCGAAAGGCCATCACCGATTTCCTAATGTTACAAGCGGATAAAGGTACTCCCCTGTGTAACTTCGATGTCAGCCATTGGCAGCTCATGCGTGACACCTGCCGCTTGCTCAGGCCCTTTGAGGAGGCCACGCTATTCGTGAGTCGGCAGGACTATGGGATGAACGACGTCATTCCTCTGTTGCACGTCCTGGAACAAATGCTGTTAACAATGGCTGGTCAGGGTGCGGTAGACGTGGCGCACAGATCTCAACGCCACATGACCCCTGTGGGGGCAGGACAGGAAGAAGAGGAGGAGGTAGAGGAGGACATTTGTGCTCAGGAATTATTGAGTGAAATGGGTGGTTTTTTCCACTCAGCGGACAGGAGTGGAGGAGCAGGAGCATCTGGTAGAGGAGGAGGAGGAGAGGAGACAGAGGACCCAGACGCACCGTGGCAGTATGCTGTGGAGATGGAGGCAGGGAGTCCCTCACATTCCTTGGCACAAATGGCCCATAGCATGCTCGCTTGCTTGCGTAGCGACAGCCGAATAATAACCATCAGACAGAGGGATGACTTTTGGCTGTCCACCTTGTTGGACCCTCACTACCGTTCAAAAATGGTGGCCTTTTTCACACCTGCTGAGAGGGAGGCCAAAATAACGTACTATAAAAACCACATATGTAGTCAGTTGGTCTCTGCCTTTCTGCGCCAACGTCCATCCTCAGACACTGTGGGCCCTATGCGCTCGCGTTCCGCTGCCATGGCAGCAGGGGAGGGGTGGGGTGGTAGGAGCAGTGGCAGCTCCACCAGCAGCGGCTGCCTCAGTCTGCAGTCGATGATGAGTAGCTTTCTTCACCAGCGCAGTGGGGAAACTACTAACCAGCCGCAGCAGCAGCAGCATCAGGTGGACCTGGAGCAGGACCTCAAACAACAGGCTTGGGCCTACTTGGACAGCACCCTGCCAACCGAGGTAGACAATCCCCTTGACTACTGGGCAACGAAACTTGACCTTTGGCCCCAACTAGCTGACTTTGCCCTTGAAAGGCTGTCATGCCCGGCCAGTAGCGTGGCATCGGAGCGCGTGTTTAGTGCGGCAGGAGGTATTGTAACTCCGCAAAGGACACGACTGTCCACCCAAAGTGTGGAGAGACTCACGTTTGTGAAAATGAATCAGGCGTGGATTAGTCTGGATTTCAAACCACCAGTTCCTGACACAACTGATTAAATCCGCCATGAATCATGCCCCAAACATGTGCCACTTTCAGGTCTCCTCACACTGCTGGTGTGTTCCATTTTTTGTCATAGGGTGCTGGCAGATTACGGGCCTCCCATTGCTGCTGCCAGGCCTGTAATCTGCCATGGGCCCCAGTACCGCCTCTTCATGCTGCTGCCAGGTCCAGAGTGTCTCATGGGTCCCTGTACGGCCTCCCATTGCTGCTGTCTCCATCGCCACACTCTGCCATGTGCCATTTTCAGGTCTCCTCACACTGCTGGTGTGTTCCATTTTGTCATAGGGTGCTGGCAGATTACGGGCCTCCCATTGCTGCTGCCAGGCCCGTAATCTGCCATGGGCCCCCGTACCGCCTCCTCATGCTGCTGCCAGGTCCAGAGTCTCTCATGGGTACCTGTACGGCCTCCCATTGCTGCTGTCTCCATCGCCACACTCTGCCATGTGCCACTTTCAGGTCTCCTCACACTGCTGGTGTGTTCCATTTTGTCATAGGGTGCTGGCAGATTACGGGCCTCCCATTGCTGCTGTCAGGCCCGTAATCTGCCATGGGCCCCAGTACCGCCCTCCTCATGCTGCTGCCAGGTCCACAGTGTCTCATGGGTCCCTGTACGGCCTCCCATTGCTGCTGTCTCCATCGCCACACTCTGCCATGTGCCACTTTCAGGTCTCCTCACACTGCTGGTGTGTTCCATTTTTTTGTCATAGGGTGCTGGCAGATTACGGGCCTCCCATTGCTGCTGCCAGGCCCGTAATCTGCCATGGGCCCCCGTACCGCCTCCTCATGCTGCTGCCAGGTCCAGAGTCTCTCATGGGTCCCTGTACGGCCTCCCATTGCTGCTGTCTCCATCGCCACACTCTGCCATGTGCCACTTTCAGGTCTCCTCACACTGCTGGTGTGTTCCATTTTTTGTCATAGGGTGCTGGCAGATTACGGGCCTCCCATTGCTGCTGCCAGGCCCGTAATCTGCCATGGGACCCTGTACCGCCTCTTCATGCTGATGCCAGGTCCAGAGTCTCTCATGGGTCCCTGTACGGCCTCCCATTGCTGCTGTCTCCATCGCCACACTCTGCCATGTGCCACTTTCAGGTCTCCTCACACTGCTGGTGTTCCATTTTTTGTCATAGGGTGCTGGCAGATTACGGGCCTCCATTGCTGCCAGGCCCGTAATCTGCCATGGGACCCGTAATCTGCCATGGCTGCTGCCAGGTCCAGAGTCTCTCATGGGTCCCTGTATGGCCTCCCATTGCTGCTGTCTCCATCGCCACACTCTGCCATGTGCCACTTTCAGGTCTCCTCACACTGCTGGTGTGTTCCATTTTTGTCCCCATGCTGCAGATTACGGGCCTCCCATTGCTGCTGCCAGCCCGTAATCTGCCATGGGCCCTGTTCCGCCTCCTCATGCTGCTGCCACTCCACAGTGTCAGGTCTCCTGTACTCCATTGCTGCTGTCTGGTGTGCCATGTTCCATTTTCAGGTCTCCTCACATAGCTGTGCTGTTCAGATTACGGGCCTTACGGGCCTCCCATTGCTGCTGCCAGGCCCGTAATCTGCCCATGGGCCCCTGTACCCGCCTCTTCATGCTGCTGCCAGGTCCAGAGTCTCTCATGGGTCCCTGTACGGCCTCCCATTGCTGCTGTCTCCATCGCCACACTCTGCCATGTGCCACTTTCAGGTCTCCTCACACTGCTGGTGTGTTCCATTTTTTGTCATAGGGTGCTGGCAGATTACGGGCCTCCCATTGCTGCTGCCAGGCCCGTAATCTGCCATGGGCCCCCCTGTCCGCCGCTCTCATGCTGCTGCCAGCTGCCCAGGTCCAGAGTGTCTCATGGGTCCCTGTACGGCCTCCCATTGCTGCTGTCTCCATCGCCACACTCTGCCATGTGCCACTTTCAGGTCTCCTCACACACTGCTGGTGTGTTCCATTTTTGTCATAGGGTGCTGGCAGATTACGGGCCTCCCATTGCTGCTGCCAGGCCCGTAATCTGCCATGGGCCCCCGTACCACCTCCTCATCATGCTGCTGCCAGGTCCAGAGTCTCTCATGGGTCCCTGTACGGCCTCCCATTGCTGCTGTCTCCATCGCCACACTCTGCCATGTGCCACTTTCAGGTCTCCTCACACTGCTGCTGTGTGTTCCATTTTTTGTCATAGGGTGCTGGCAGATTACGGGCCTCTCATTGCTGCTGCCAGGCCCGTAATCTGCCATGGGCCCCTGTACCGCCTCTTCATGCTGCTGCCAGGTCCAGAGTGTCTCATGGGTCCCTGTACGGCCTCCCATTGCTGCTGTCTCCATCGCCACACTCTGCCATGTGCCACTTTCAGGTCTCCTCACACTGCTGGTGTGTGTTCCATTTTTTGTCATAGGGTGCTGGCAGATTACGGGCCTCCCATTGCTGCTGCCAGGCCCGTAATCTGCCATGGGCCCCAGTACCGCCTCCTCATGCTGCTGCCCAGGTCCACAGTGTCTCATGGGTCCCTGTACGGCCTCCCATTGCTGCTGTCTCCATCGCCACACTCTCTGCCATGTGCCACTTTCAGGTCTCCTCACACACTGCTGGTGTGTTCCATTTTTTGTCATAGGGTGCTGGCAGATTACGGGCCTCCCATTGCTGCTGCCAGGCCCGTAATCTGCCATGGGCCCCCGTACCGCCTCTCTCATGCTGCTGCCAGGTCCAGAGTCTCTCATGGGTCCCTGTACGGCCTCCCATTGCTGCTGTCTCCATCGCCACACTCTGCCATGTGCCACTTTCAGGTCTCCTCACACTGCTGCTGTGTTTCCATTTTTTTGTCATTTTTTGGGCCTCATAGGGTGCTGGCAGATTACGGGCCTCCCATTGCTGCTGCCCAGGCCCGTAATCTGCCATGGGCCCCTGTACCGCCTCTTCATGCTGCTGCCAGGTCCAGAGTGTCTCATGGGTCCCTGTACGGCCTCCCATTGCTGCTGTCTCCATCGCCACACTCTGCCATGTGCCACTTTCAGGTCTCCTCACACTGCTGGTGTGTTCCATTTTGTCATAGGGTGCTGGCAGATTACGGGCCTCCCATTGCTGCTGCCAGGCCCGTAATCTGCCATGGGCCCCTGTACCGCCTCTTCATGCTGCTGCCAGCCAGGTCCAGAGTCTCTCATGGGTCCCTGTACGGCCTCCCATTGCTGCTGTCTCCATCGCCACACTCTGCCATGTGCCACTTTCAGGTCTCCTCACACTGCTGGTGTGTTCCATTTTTTCATAGGGTGCTGGCAGATTACGGGCCTCCCATTGCTGCTGCCAGGCCCGTAATCTGCCATGGGCCCCCGTACCGACTCCTCATGCTGCTGTGACGTTGCAACAAGGTGGAATTCAACCCTACATATGTTAGAACCGCCTTTACGAACAGCGAAAGGCCATCACAGATTCCTGATGTTACAAGCGGATAAAAGGTACTCCCCCTGTGTAACTTAGATGTCAGCCATTGGCAGCTCATGCGTGACACCTGCCGCTTGCTCAGGCCCTTTGAGGAGGCCACGCTATTCGTGAGTCGGCAGGACTATGGGATGAACGACGTCATTCCTCTGTTGCACGTCCCGGAACAAATGCTGTTAACAATGGCTGGTCAGGGTGCGGTAGACGTGGCGCACAGATCTCAACACCACATGACCCCTGTGGGGGCAGGACAGGAAGAAGAGGAGGAGGTAGAGGAGGACATTGGTGCTCAGGAATTATTGAGTGAAATGGGGTTGGTTTTTCCACTCAGCGGACAGGAGTGGAGGAGCAGGAGCATCTGGTAGAGGAGGAGGAGAGAGGAGACAGAGGACCCAGACGCACCGTGGCAGTATGCTGTGGAGATGGAGGCAGGGAGTCCCTCGCATTCCTTGGCACACAAATGGCCCATAGCATGCTCGCACTTGCTTGCGTAGCGACAGCCGAATAATAACCATCAGACAGAGGGATGACTTTTGGCTGTCCACCTTGTTGGACCCTCGCTACCGTTCAAAAATGGTGGCCTTTTTCACACCTGCTGAGAGGGAGGCCAAAATAACGTACTATAAAAACCACCTATGTAGTCAGTTGGTCTCTGCCTTTTCTGCGCCAACGTCCATCCCAGACAGACACTGTGGGCCCTGTGCGCTCTCGCGTTCCGCTGCCATGGCAGCAGGGGAGGGGTGGGGTGGTAGGAGCAGTGGCAGCTCCACCAGCAGCGGCTGCCTCAGTCTGCAGTCGATGATGAGTAGCTTTCTTCACCAGCGCAGTGAGGAAACTACTAACCAGCCGCAGCAGCAGCAGCATCAGGTGGACCTGGAGCAGGACCTCAAACAACAGGCTTGGGGCCTACTTGGACAGCACCCTGCCAACCGAGGTAGACAATCCCCTTGACTACTGGGCAACGAAACTTGACCTTTGGCCCCCAACTAGCTGAATTTGCCCTTGAAAGGCTGTCATGCCCGGCCAGTAGCGTGGCATCGGAGCGCGTGTTTAGTGCGGCAGGAGGTATTGTAACTCCGCGGAGGACACGACTGTCCACCCAAAGTGTGGAGAGACTCACGTTTGTGAAAATGAAATGCTGGGCTGCAGGCGTGGATTAGTCTGGATTTCAAACCACCAGTTCCTGACACAACTGACTAAATCCGCCATGAATCATGCCCCAAACATGTGCCACTTTCAGGTCTCCTCACACTGCTGGTGTGTTCCATTTTTTGTCATAGGGTGCTGGCAGATTACGGGCCTCCCATTGCTGCTGCCAGGCCCGTAATCTGCCATGGGCCCCCGTACCGCCTCCTCATGCTGCTGCCAGGTCCAGAGTCTCTCATGGGTCCCTGTACGGCCTCCCATTGCTGCTGTCTCCATCGCCACACTCTGCCATGTGCCACTTTCAGGTCTCCTCACACTGCTGGTGGGTTCCATTTTTGTCATAGGGTGCTGTATGGCCTCCCATTGCTGCTGCCTCCACCGCCACACTGTGGCTCCACACTCTGGTTTTGGCCCCGTGACTGCCCAAATGAGTGAAGTGTGCGTTGATTCTAAGATCGATGGCACTCATCTGCATGTCATACTGACTGACAGTATTATTTCTCTTCCCCAGCAGACTCCAAGGGCATTTAAATTAAAGGTACAGTGTTCTACACTAATATGAAGGCTCTCTGAAGCCTAGAAACACCCTTTTATAAGTTAAATTCGCAGCGAATATATTCGCATCGAATCAAATTTATTCCTCGAATTCGCCGAATCGAATTTTTGAATACTTCGCTCATCTCTAGTCACAACCATACTTTGATAAAACATACCTACACTCCTTTCCTCCTAGTCATTTTTATGGAATTGCAGTAATATTCTAAAATATAAACACTGCAAGCCATGCAAAAACATGTCAACCTGTATGCATCCTGGGTCTGTAGTTCTATTTACAACTTCATAAGGAGGGATAAGGAGAAAACTGCAGTTATCCTGTACTGACAACATATATAGGCTGTCATTACATAAAATTTTAGTTGCCCATTTGTTATGATCAAAAGCCTTTAGTAGTTTCTGAATCACAATTCTCCTCCTGACAATGCCTTTATCTTTAAATCAACCAATACCCACCCAAGCCCAATCACATACACCTACCAATTATATTGAAAGGCTATGTACAGCTGCATACAGACATGTGGCCTTACAAGTGAATATACATCAATATGTATGGGTAGTGTTGCTCAGTATTAATCAGATAGTGCTGAATACTTTCATAATATACTAAAAAAACAAAAACTAAATCTCTTGTAAATAATGTTTGGGAATAAAGATATCCACATGTACCTATTCAAATATCTACATGTGTCACTTTAACTGGTTCCCGGCCATCCTATAGCAGAAATACTTTTTTTTTTTTAGCACTGATCACTGAATTGGTGTCACTGGGGATGTCAGTGACACCAAGTCAGTTCTCCCCAGTGTCAGAATGCCGGCCGCAGTCCCGCTATAAGTTGCTGATTGCCGCCATTATTACTAAAAGAAAAAAAATTCCAGTATCTATACTGCCATTTGTAAACGCTATAACTTTCACGAAAACCAATTAATTTACACATATTAGGATTTTTTTCTTTATCAAAGACATTGCAGAATACATTTTGGCCTAAATTTATGACGAAATTAGATTTTTCTAATTCTTATACTGGACATATTTTACCGCTTCCACGCCACCCTATAGTAGAAATACTGCTACAGGTCATCATGGGTGCACAAAATCACATATATATACGTGATTCACGCTCCCGCGGTTTTTCGCCCCTTCCAGATAGCGTCAAATTGCCCGTCATTACACCAGTAATTACATTTAACCCCTTAATTGCCCACATACACAATAAACCTCCATTGCTAGTATAGTGTTTGAACGGATCAATATCATTGATCAGATCAGCACTATACTAGCGTTCACATTAGTATAGTGTCCCCAAAAATGCAGCGTTAGCTGGATCAGCCCCAGCACCTGCATTTAGCCCCTACGCTTACCACCCCACCCTCTCCCCCAGCAAATGCAGTGTCAGTAGGCCACTGTCACTTGATACATTGCACACGAAATCACAGTTTTCGCAGAATCAGGCCTGATCTCTGCTAGCACTTTTTTTTTTGTAAGTATTTTATTAATTTTTACATTTCAACAAAAACTTCAAACCACAACGAAGATTGTCATAACAATATATAAAAACTTATATTTCCATATTAAACATTTCCTCAAAGAGCCCACCTCCTCCCCATCTCTCCTCCACCCCACACCCATATTTCTTTTCCCTTAGCTCCCCATTCCTCCACATTTCCGAGTGTCGTCAGAATTCCCTTTGCCTCCTTCCTATATTTACTTTCTTCTTTTACTCATACCAGTCCTCTCATCTGCTCCTCTATTTCTCCCATTTCAAGAAGGTACCATGCTTCCCATCAGTGTGTGTTTCTAAGTAATTGTTCAAATCAGTTCATGTACACCTTTGTTCTTAAGTGCCCAGGGAGCTTTACCACAAAGTGTCTTAGTTGAAAATATTGCCACTCATCTAACCTAGAAAACAGCTCCTTCTTGTTTTTCAGCTCCTGAAAGGAGCAGATTTCTTCCCCATTCATTATATCCTTTAACTGTGCATCTCTCTTTATTATCCAGTTCCCCGAAATGTTTTCTTTCCCTGGTGGGAAAAGATCTGTAACCAACAGTATCAACATGGAGTTGAATTCCCATCCTATTTGTCTGTGCATCACATCCCAAATTCGTAATACATTTTGTGTATAAGTGCTTGTGCTTTCTGCCGACCTTTGGTATTGATGTGGCAACCACACCACCCTATTCAATCATGTCTCACTAAATGTATTTTCTATATTTACCCAACGTTTCCCCCATGCATTATGTGTCCAATCAAAAATACGTGATAATAATACTGAATGATAATATCTGTTAATATCCAGCACACCTAAACCCCCATTATGCTTATCTCTACACAACACTTCGTAACTTATTCTCATTTTTTTATTCCCCCAAATATATCTTGTTATAATTTTTTTGGATTATTTTAAAATACATTCCCAGAAGCTTTCATATGGAATTTATACAGTATTTTTGGAACAATTATCATCATTTTTAT